TCTGTCTTGAAAAAGAGCAATGACAGGTCCCAGAACCAAGGGGAGTCCCTGGAGGTTTTAACCCCGAAAAAAGCCCTTAAATCCGGCTTAAAATAGGGCCATGCGGGTCCCAGAACCGAGGGGATTCTGTGGAGGTTCTATCCCCGAAAAAAGCTTAGAAATCCGGACATAAATGCAGCACTGGCAAGCCTGAGACCCAGGGTGGGTCCTCGGAGGTTTTAACCCCGAAAAAAGCCCTGAAGTACGGCTTGAAATAGAGCCATCACAGGCCTGGTGCTCCAAGCAAATGTGAAAATAAATAAAAAGTGCTGTGGGCAGGATTCGAACCTGCGTGGGAGGACCTCAATGACTCCCCATTCCATCGCCTTTGCCACTCGGCCACAGCGAGCCCAGTACTACAGCATAGACACTTAGGTTTTTTGACAAAACACTTAGGCTGATTTGTAGGCTGAGGGGTGAGAAAGGCCTGGTTCTCCAGGGGGGCTATGTTCATGTGTGGGGGCTACCAGGACCTCCAGGCCGGTTAGGGTTAGGTCTGGGGAGGGCCTGGGTCTCCATGGGGGTTAAGGTTAGGTGTGGGGAAGGCCTGGACCTCCATGGGGGTTAAGGTTAGGTGTGGGGAAGCCCAGGACCTCCAGGGGGGCTATGTGCAGGCATGGGGGCGGCCTGGATCTCCAGGGGGGCTATATGCAGGCGTGGGGGCGGCCTGGATCTCCATGGGGGTTAAGGTTAGGTGTGGGGAGGGCCTGGATCTCCATGGGGGTTAAGGTTAGGTGTGGGGAAGGCCTGGATCTCCATGGGGGTTAAGGTTAGGTGTGGGGAAGGCCTGGACCTCCAGGGGGGCTATGTGCAGGCGTGGGGGCGGCCTGGATCTCCATGGGGGTTAAGGTTAGGTGTGGGGAAGGCCTGGACCTCCAAGGGGGCTATGTGCAGGCGTGGGGGGCGGCCTGGATCTCCATGGGGGTTAAGGTTAGGTGTGGGGAAGGCCTGGACCTCCATGGGGGTTAAGGTTAGGTGTGGGGAAGGCCTGCCCCTCCAGGGGGGCTATGTGCAGGCGTGGGGGCGGCCTGGATCTCCATGGGGGTTAAGGTTAGGTGTGGGGAGGGCCTGGATCTCCATGGGGGTTAAGGTTAGGAGTGGGGAAGGCCTGGACCTCCAGTGGGGCTATGTGCAGGCGTGGGGGCGGCCTGGATCTCCTTGGGGGTTAAGGTTAGGTGTGGGGAAGGCCTGGACCTCCAGGGGGGCTATGTGCAGGCGTGGGGGCGGCCTGGATCTCCATGGGGGTTAAGGTTAGGTGTGGGGAGGGCCTGGATCTCCATGGGGGTTAAGGTTAGGTGTGGGGAAGGCCTGGACCTCCAGGGGGGCTATGTGCAGGCGTGGGGGCGGCCTGGATCTCCTTGGGGGTTAAGGTTAGGTGTGGGGAAGGCCTGGACCTCCAGGGGGGCTATGTGCAGGCGTGGGGGGCGGCCTGGATCTCCATGGGGGTTAAGGTTAGGTGTGGGGAAGGCCTGGATCTCCATGGGGGTTAAGGTTAGGAGTGGGGGCGGCCTGGACCTCCAGGGGGGCTATGTGCAGGCGTGGGGGCGGCCTGGATCTCCATGGGGGTTAAGGTTAGGTGTGGGGAAGGCCTGGACCTCCAGGGGGGCTATGTTCAGGCGTGGGGGGCGGCCTGGATCTCTATGGGGGTTAAGGTTAGGTGTGGGGAAGGCCTGGACCTCCAGGGGGGCTATGTGCAGGCGTGGGGGGCGGCCTGGATCTCCATGGGGGTTAAGGTTAGGTGTGGGGAAGGCCTGGATCTCCATGGGGGTTAAGGTTAGGAGTGGGGGCGGCCTGGACCTCCAGGGGGGCTATGTGCAGGCGTGGGGGCGGCCTGGATCTCCATGGGGGTTAAGGTTAGGTGTGGGGAAGGCCTGGACCTCCAGGGGGGCTATGTTCAGGCGTGGGGAGGGCCTGGGTCTCCATGGGGGTTAAGGTTAGGTGTGGGGAAGGCCTGGACCTCCATGGGGGTTAAGGTTAGGTGTGGGGAAGCCCAGGACATACAGGGGGGCTATGTGCAGGCGTGGGGGCGGCCTGGATCTCCAGGGGGGCTATGTGCAGGCGTGGGGGCGGCCTGGATCTCCATGGGGGTTAAGGTTAGGTCTGGGGAAGGCCTGGACCTCCATGGGGGTTAAGGTTAGGTGTGGGGAAGGCCTGGACCTCCAGGGGGGCTATGTGCAGGCGTGGGGGGCGGCCTGGATCTCCATGGGGGTTAAGGTTAGGTGTGGGGAAGGCCTGGATCTCCATGGGGGTTAAGGTTAGGTGTGGGGAAGGCCTGGATCTCCATGGAGGTTAAGGTTAGGTGTGGGGAAGACCTGGATCTCCAGGGGGGCTATGTGCAGGCGTGGGGGCGGCCTGGATCTCCATGGGGGTTAAGGTTAGGTGTGGGGAGGGCCTGGGTCTCCATGGGGGTTAAGGTTAGGTGTGGGGAAGGCCTGGACCTCCAGGGGGGCTATGTGCAGGCGTGGGGGCGGCCTGGATCTCCATGGGGGTTAAGGTTAGGTGTGGGGAGGGCCTGGATCTCCATGGGGGTTAAGGTTAGGAGTGGGGAAGGCCTGGACCTCCAGGGGGGCTATGTGCAGGCGTGGGGGCGGCCTGGATCTCCTTGGGGGTTAAGGTTAGGTGTGGGGAAGGCCTGGATCTCCAGGGGGGCTATGTGCAGGCGTGGGGGCGGCCTGGAACTTCATGGGGGTTAAGGTTAGGTGTGGGGAAGGCCTGGATCTCCATGGGGGTTAAGGTTAGGTGTGGGGAAGACCTGGATCTCCAGGGGGGCTATGTGCAGGCGTGGGGGCGGCCTGGATCTCCATGGGGGTTAAGGTTAGGTGTGGGGAGGGCCTGGGTCTCCATGGGGGTTAAGGTTAGGTGTGGGGAAGGCCTGGACCTCCAGGGGGGCTATGTGCAGGCGTGGGGGCGGCCTGGATCTCCATGGGGGTTAAGGTTAGGTGTGGGGAGGGCCTGGATCTCCATGGGGGTTAAGGTTAGGTGTGGGGAAGGCCTGGACCTCCAGGGGGGCTATGTGCAGGCGTGGGGGCGGCCTGGATCTCCTTGGGGGTTAAGGTTAGGTGTGGGGAAGGCCTGGACCTCCAGGGGGGCTATGTGCAGGCGTGGGGGGCGGCCTGGATCTCCATGGGGGTTAAGGTTAGGTGTGGGGAAGGCCTGGATCTCCATGGGGGTTAAGGTTAGGTGTGGGGAAGGCCTGGACCTCCATGGGGGTTAAGGTTAGGTGTGGGGAGGGCCTGGATCTCCATGGGGGTTAAGGTTAGGTGTGGGGAAGGCCTGGACCTCCAGGGGGGCTATGTGCAGGCGTGGGGAAGCCCAGGACATACAGGGGGGCTATGTGCAGGCGTGGGGGCGGCCTGGATCTCCAGGGGGGCTATGTGCAGGCGTGGGGGCGGCCTGGATCTCCATGGGGGTTAAGGTTAGGCGTGGGGGCGGCCTGGACCTCCATGGTGGTTAAGGTTAGGTGCGGGGAAGGCCTGGACCTCCAGGGGGGCTATGTGCAGGCGTGGGGGGCGGCCTGGATCTCCATGGGGGTTAAGGTTAGGTGTGGGGAGGGCCTGGATCTCCATGGGGGTTAAGGTTAGGTGTGGGGAAGGCCTGGATCTCCATGGGGGTTAAGGTTAGGTGCGGGGAAGGCCTGGATCTCCATGGGGGTTAAGGTTAGGTGTGGGGAAGGCCTGGATCTCCAGCTGCCCCGGGAAGCTCTCGTCAGGATCAGAGCTGGAGGATTATGTGTTTAGTAGTAGTGGAAACCGGGGCACCTGGAGAAAACTGCAGACTCAGGGTGAACAGGCAAACTTAACATAGAAAGGCCCTGGTCTGACCGGGATTCGAACCCAGCAGGACCTTCTTTCTTTAGAAGCGAGAGACTGGCCTCCTGCTGGGACTCTGAGGAGCACAGGGACTGGCCTCCTGCTGGTCCCAGAGTCAGGACTAAACATGGGGAGGCAGCGTTTCTGATTGACGCAGCTAAAATCTGGACCAATTTTCCTGAAAATATGAGACAGGCAAGGATTCTGAAAAATCACCGCTGACGACACGAAGAACCTGAAGTTCCGGAGCAGACTTGGGCGATTATACCTCTACCTACTTTTACTCTTTAGCCTTTAGTCTCTCTCTCTCTCTCTCTCTCTCTCTCCCTCTCTCCCTCTCTCCCTCTCTCTCTCTCTCTCTCTCTCTCTCAGGTGTTGGATCCAGGGCAGATTATGCGCCTGGCTGTTCCCACGCTGAGAACAGAAAGAACTCTCTCTCTCTCTCTCTCTGTCTGTATGATCCAGAGTAGAGTACCTCTACCTCCTTTTTCATTATGTAGCTTTCTCCTACACTCTCTCTCTCACTCTCTCTGGTCTCTCTCTGGTCTTTCTCTCTCTCTCTCCCCCTCTCCCTCTCTCTTCTTTTCTCTCTCTCTCTCTCACGCTTTCTGGTCTCTCTCTCTGGTCTTTCTCTCTCTCTCCCCCTCTCCCTTTCTCTTCTTTCTCTCTCTCTCTCTCCCCGTCCTGTCCCTCTCCCCCCTCTCTCTCCCCCCCCCCTCTCTCTCTCTCACCCTCCCTCTATCCCCTTTTTCTCTTTCCTCCTCTCTCTCCCTCTCTCCCTCCCCCTCTCTCTCACCCTCTCTCTCTCTCCTTCTCTCTCCCTCTCTCTCTCCTTCTCTCTCCCTCTCTCTCACCCTCTCCCTCTCTCTCTCTCTCCTCCTCTCTCTCTCTCTCCTCCTCTCTCCCTCTCTCTCACCCTCTCTCTCCCTCTCCCTCCCCCTGTCTTTCTCTCCCTCTCTCTCACCCTCTCTCTCCCTCTCCCTCCCCCTGTCTCTCTCTCCCTCTCTCCCTCTCTCCCTCCCTCTCTCTCTCTCTCTCTCTCTGGTGTTGGATCCAGGGCAGATTATTTGCCTGGCTGTTCCCACGCTGAGAACAGGAAGAACTGGGAGCACAGTGGGACCTCTCGGAGCCTTCTGCCGTCATGGCGTAGATTCAATCTGGCTGGAACCGGTCGGGAGCACGGCGGAGCGGGGGGCGAGCGGCGAGCGCTGGCCTCGGCGTTAATGGAACCTAAAGCCAGAGCTGTTTTTGTTAAAGCGAGAAAGCACTTAATGTGGGGAAAGTGGGCAGCCTCACCTCACACCATCGAACGCTCTCTGCTCCTGCTGTGAGGTGAAAATGGCCTCCCACCTGCTCCTCGTCTGTGGAGAGGAGATGGAGGAGCAGGACCCTCGCCTCCTCTTCCTCCTCTTCCTCCTCCTCCATGTGTGTGAGACCAGGTTTAACAAGGCTGGCATTTTAACTTGTTTGGTCGACAAATTGGTAAACAGTTTCTTTGGTAACCACATTTTGTATTAGTTATTTTGACCTAAACCCTCTCAATGAATGATGATGCATTGGTTTTATATAGACTCAAGCTGTAGACCCAGGACTGAGGCTGTAGACCCAGGACTGAGGCTGCAGGTCCAGGACTGAGGCTGAAGATCCAGGACTGAGGCTGTAGACCCAGGACTGAGGCTGTAGATCCAGGACTGAGGCTGAAGATCCAGGACTGAGGCTGTAGACCCAGGACTGAGGCTGTAGATCCAGAACTGAGGCTGTAGACCCAGGACTGAGGCTGTAGACCCAGGACTGAGGCTGAAGATCCAGGACTGAGGCTGAAGATCCAGGACTGAGGCTGAAGATCCAGGACTGAGGCTGTAGATCCAGGACTGAGGCTGTAGACCCAGGACTGAGGCTGTAGACCCAGGACTGAGGCTGTAGATCCAGGACTGAGGCTGTAGACCCAGGACTGAGGCTGTAGACCCAGGACTGAGGCTGAAGATCCAGGACTGAGGCTGTAGATCCAGGACTGAGGCTGAAAGTCACTTGTGGAGTATTTAGCATATATTTTATCTTGTACTTGTGACTATCCATCCATCCATCCATCCAATTATCAAAACAGAATTATCAGATGAATGGAATTGGAATAATGTAGTAATAATAAAATAGTAATATAGTATTGTAGGTAAAGCGACAGTGGCTCAGTTGGTAGAGCATTGGCCTTGAAGATCGTGGGTTCGAGCCCACCACAAAGACCTACTCCACGACTCCCACTGATAACTGCTGCCGTTGTGTCCTTGGGCAAGACACTGAACCCCACTCTGCCTGAAGCCCCCGCTGAAAGATCTCGGCTCCAGTGGACTCAGCACCTGCAGGAGGATCAGTGAGGGGCTGGTGCTCTGTGGACTGCCAACCCTGACCCAGAAATGGATTAAGGGGAAGAAAATGTATGGATGGAGATAAAGCAACTAGTGTGTATCAAACCAGGTGGATGCCACAGACTCAGCAGTTCTCATTGTACAGTCTGACAGCAGCAGGAAGGACAGACCTGCAGAACCTCCTCTTTTCGCATTTTTACTTTCTGGCTTTTAACACAGCGTGAGTTCTGTGGTCCTCTCACATTTGTATTGTTTTAACTTTGTGCATATTTAAATGTGTTGGTTTTATCTCTGTGCAGCTACGTGCTATATAGATAAAGTGGATTGGATTTTCACACTTTTTTTCATTTGAATTAGAAGAACATGCATGTCCTCAGTCCTCATGGCCGTGTAGCACAGAGCGTCTGTATGTCGTGTCTGCAGCAGCGGCACTTGTTTGGCTCCTGTGCGAGTGCTGCGTGCTTCTACAGCTCCTCTACACTCTGAGAGCAGCTGGTAGCACTTGAAGACAGAAAAAAAAAACGCAGAGATGGGTCCAGTGCTCGCCGTGTTTGGGCGCCGCTCTGAAATGCCAGCTGTTGCACTTGTGTTTTCACACCCACTACAGGCGTAATTCTTTTGTCTCGGAGCGATGGAAGCGAGAGAGCTGTTTGATTAGACTGTTTGACTGTACGCAGATGTCACAGAGGACTCCGCCAAAAAACTATCTCAACGACTGTGGAAAGAAACAGGAGAAATCTACAAACCGCAAAGGACGAGACGAGAGACAGGAGGGAGTCATTCAGCTTCAAGACTGAGGCTGTAGATCCAGGACTGAGGCTGTAGATCCAGGACTGAGGCTGTAGATCCAGGACTGAGGCTGTAGATCCAGGACACAGGCTGTAGACCCAGGACTGAGGCTGTAGATCCAGGACTGAGGCTGTAGATCCAGGACTGAGGCTGTAGACCCAGGACTGAGGCTGTAGATCCAGGACTGAGGCTGTAGACCCAGGACTGAGGCTGTAGATCCAGGACTGAGGCTGTAGATCCAGGACTGAGGCTGTAGATCCAGGACTGAGGCTGTAGACCCAGGACTGAGGCTGTAGACCCAGGACTGAGGCTGTAGATCCAGGACTGAGGCTGTAGACCCAGGACTGAGGCTGTAGATCCAGGACTGAGGCTGTAGACCCAGGACTGAGGCTGTAGATCCAGGACTGAGGCTGTAGATCCAGGACTGAGGCTGTAGACCCAGGACTGAGGCTGTAGACCCAGGACTGAGGCTGTAGATCCAGGACTGAGGCTGTAGATCCAGGACTGAGGCTGTAGATCCAGGACTGAGGCTGTAGATCCAGGACTGAGGCTGTAGATCCAGGACTGAGGCTGTAGATCCAGGACTGAGGCTGTAGATCCAGGACTGAGGCTGTAGACCCAGGACTGAGGCTGTAGACCCAGGACTGAGGCTGTAGATCCAGGACTGAGGCTGTAGATCCAGGACTGAGGCTGTAGACCCAGGACTGAGGCTGTAGACCCAGGACTGAGGCTGTAGACCCAGGACTGAGGCTGTAGACCCAGGACTGAGGCTGTAGACCCAGGACTGAGGCTGTAGACCCAGGACTGAGGCTGTAGACCCAGGACTGAGGCTGTAGACCCAGGACTGAGGCTGTAGACCCAGGACTGAGGCTGTAGATCCAGGACTGAGGCTGTAGACCCAGGACTGAGGCTGTAGATCCAGGACTGAGGCTGTAGACCCAGGACTGAGGCTGTAGATCCAGGACTGAGGCTGTAGACCCAGGACTGAGCTGTAGATCCAGGACTGAGGCTGTAGACCCAGGACTGAGGCTGTGTATAAGAACTCTAACATTAAATACGTTTTATGATTTCACTAATCCATCTGATACAGTGCAGTAATATCACCAGAACAACCTGCACTTATGTCATAAAACCCATATCCAGGCGTTTTTAACTCTGACGGATCGCTTTAGTCTCTCTGGCTTTAGCTCTCACACACACACAGACGTGGCCCTTCACCTCTCGCTCTGAGTGGATTGGTGCTATTTGCCCACACTGGTCTGGCCCCGGCCCGACCCCGGAGGGCGGCCGCAGGATTAGGACCCGGAGAGGCCACGTCCACCTCGTACTTTGCACTCGCTCTAATCCCAGCGCTCGGCAAGCTCTTAATTGAACCATCATCAGCCGGGCAGCACAGGGTTAAACTTCAATTACAGTAATGAGGAGGAGAGGAGAGGGGGAGAGAGGGGAGTGAGGGGAGAGGGGTGAGGGGGGGCTGAGGCAAAGGGAGGACTGGACTAATGCTCAGGTGGGACCAGAGACACCATGTGGGTTCACTGAGATCTGCAAGTGACAGCCTCAGTCCTGGGTCTACAGCCTCAGTCCTGGGTCTACAGCCTCAGTCCTGGATCTACAGCCTCAGTCCTGGATCTACAGCCTCAGTCCTGGATCTACAGCCGCAGTCCTGGATCTACAGCCTCAGTCCTGGATCTACAGCCTCAGTCCTTGGTCTACAGCAGGCATGTCAAAGTCAAATACATCAGAGGGCCAAAAAAACAAATTTGCTGCGAGCCGAGGGCCGGACTGGTTCAATGTTTATTAACTCATTGCCTGCCAGCCTATTTCAGAACAGGTACTCCCATATTGCCAGCAGTTTCTGATGATTTTTATAGATTTTTCAAGACCCACAGAATATTGTGTACTATGACTATCTGAAATCCGAAACCAGATTCTGAAAGAATAGACTGTCTACTTTCATCAGCAAAAATAATTTTGTTTCTAGCTTGTAATCCCCAGTTGAATAGAGTGAAGTTTTACTAAAATCACCAAAAAGCTGAGAAAAAAGAGGCACAACAAGTGCATCTAGCTGTTTTCAAACCATTCAGAGAGCGCTACTGCCACCTGCTGGCTCGATTCAATATGCTCTCAAGCTTATCCCCAAACATATTAGATATAATAGACATCTGGGAACATGAAAATAGCGGAAAACGCAATTGACGTAATAGTGCGTCAATGGCAGGCAACGGGCCATGTAAAATTCATTCGCGGGCCGGATTTGGCCCGCGGGCCTTGACTTTGACACATGTTGTCTACAGCCTCAGTCCTTGGTCTACAGCCTCAGTCCTGGATAATCCTGCTCCATATGAACCAATGGCTCCTGTATGTTTGGTATCAATGTATTTCTTGTGTTGAAACGGTTTGATTTTCTGATCTGTGTCTGAGGAAACGGACAACTGTGTAAAGTCCTCAGAGGAGCTGTAAAATCCCCCACAACTATTTACTATTTATCAACTGTCTCCAAACCTTTTCACCCAGAGAGCTACTTTACGGAGACAAAAAAGGCAGAGAGCTACTTCTTTATGTGGCCCTGGGAAAACATATATTGGTGAGAGCGAGCCTGATCTTTCCGGTACAGTCATGAAATCATTCTTCATCATCACACATTCATTTCTACTGCTCAAAGTAAGTTTCCATTTACAATAATGAGCACTACTTTCTATAATATCCAAGTTAGTTCATTTCGAAGTCCTTTGAGGAGCTACTGGTGGCTCCCCATTTACAGGCTGGACACCCCTGCTATAACATACTAACAGAATACGCTTTACCCCCACCACTAATATTATGTAAATACTGTAAACTAGAACGATTAATGCAGTTTTTTTTAAGCTTCAAACGAAATCAAAACACCACACAACCAGAGGTAAAGTCTGCTCCCTGCTCCGTGATCCCGGACCAGAATCCCATCCCTGCATCCGCACAGTCATCCTTCGTATTAACCTCTTGCCGTCTCGTTTCTCGTACCACATTGTTGCTACAGAAATGCTGCCAATTATTCCAAACCGCTACAAAAGCCGCTCTCAAATCGAGCAGAAGTAGAAGGATTTCCTCCCACGCTCGCTGACAGGTGATCTCTGGGTCCACGGCTTCAAACCTCAACTTGAAACGCTTCTCTTTAGCTGTTTTCGTTCATTCAAATGAGCTTCTCTGCCTGAAAGGGGCCCTCTGCTGGTGTTTCACGGTCACCGCGTAAAGGTTGAGGATTGCTAACCAGGCATTGGCATTAGCATTAGCCCTCTG